TAGTTTTTAAGGAGAAATAAGATCACCTCTTTAGGACAGTTCAGTATTTTTTTTTTTTTGGACAGTTCAGTATTCCATGGGATTTTTGTCTGGTTAAGTTTCTTTAATGCTACTTTCTGAAGGTGATAATTACATATTCGCCCAAACAGCCGCATTCTCATTAATGCATGTAAAATGGGCCTTATAGCAGTAGTAGTTTAAAAATGGGTGACAGCTTCTCACTTCCTCTAACTATAGAAGTAGGAGGGAGAATCACCCATCAACATCATCCCTGATTCATGGGAGGCAGAGCTTAAACATACTTGTACCCTCCAATAGTTTTCCAGTTCTGACACTAGTATCTTTCCCACAGTCCTCTCCTACTCAGATCATTAATTTTTTGCAGTGGCCATGTACAAATTACAATCCAGAGTCACAGGTACAAATTTTATTCACTAACAGAATGAAATTTTGGATCAGAATCTATAGGCTATGCATTGGCATTCATATTAAAGAAACATGTAGGTTAATTTTCTCTTCTTCAGGACAGGCCTGTTCTTTCTGTCCCTTTCAGACATTTAAACCCCTGAAAGTTGGCTTATTTCACAATTCCATCTCTATAGGTTCCTCTCAGCTCCTTGAAGGATATACTCCTTTTGATCTTGCCTGCCTGTCCCATATCTTGGCTGAAAAGCTCTTTCTGGATCTGTTACAATTGGCTCTGTCACTGTGTCCCTTCTTCCCTCGGCATTATCTCCATTGGTACAGCTCTTGACTCATGAATATTACAGTGCATTGTGCAGGAACAGCAGTAGATTGGTCCCTATGAGGTAGAGGTTCAAGATGTTCCTTGATTTGCTCTGCAGTATCTCACAAAACTAAATAGCCATCCGGTAAATAACTCTTCAGAATGTGGAAGCTGGTGAATTTCAAATGTGAGGCAGCAAACTGTTGGCTCATGGAGTGGAGGAAGCTCTCAAATCAGGGCACACAGGCAGCTCACAGTTGCAGGGATGTCATGGAAACGGCTCATGGATTTCTGGAAGCTGGCAAACACCTAATCCATGGGTTCATTCTGAACTATGTGGCTGCAGGGGCTAACAAAACCAAATCAACAGGTCAGATGACAGGCCAATGTTTCTTCTCAAACCATGGCTGCAGGCAGTTCTCTCCCTCTTGCTCTAGTTCTTGATATGGTGGCTTCTTGGGTCAACCTAGCACCTTCCCTGCCTAGGCAAGATTAGGAGGGGCCCCTTGGAGAGCATGTGATGAAAGAAGGCAGGCTCAAGAGGTCTTTTAATTAAAATTAAGTCAGTACTGTTCGAAGGTGGCTGAGTAGAATTTGTCCTAAGATTGACAAGAAGAGCTTGTCCTAAGGTGGCTTCTAAGAGCTTCCTGCACTCAGGAAGGGAGAAAAACCCTATGAACTTTCTGTTTTGGGATCTGAGTTATAGCTTCTTATTCCTGATCCCAAGTTTTACCTTGTTTATTAATAGACCACTTTGATCTATGAGTTTTGTGTGGCCATAGCAAATGGATTATCAAACCTAGAAGTGAGACAAAGAGTGGTGTGGGAGGAACGACTTGTGTAAGAATTGACAAAAAATGTTGGAGAGCTGAGGTGTGTTTTACCTCCCCCTTCTGAACTGTTCTTGATACCTATTGCCACTGAGGGTACAGAGCTTTGTATACTGGTGATACTGCTAGAACTCCTCATTCCATTTCACATGGTACTGTAAACTTGTTTGTTAATATAAACAGGTGTTGATCTACTTTGTGTAAGTATAAATCCGCTATTACTAGCTCATTCAGATAATTTCACTGTTACTCAAAATTCTAATTTTATGAGTAGGTGGATTATTTTGGTGGCACGGGGGTCTCCAACACTCAAACCTTAGGAATAACATTGCAATTGTGGCAAATATTAAAAGACAGAGAGCAGACAGCCAGACACGGGCTCTCTTCCCATGCCAGGACTGAGAGAGTGGATGCCTTTTCCAATGGGTATATATAATGGAGCTTACAGATCTTTCACAAGGCATGCACCTCATGCAGTTAGCATATCCACAGTCAACGGATAATATCGCAAGTGGGTAACTTAGCAAACAAGCAAGAAGGTGAGTTACCATCTTGACCTAGTGCTGCTTGACCTCAAACCCGCCCTGAGCCCTCCCCAGGCATTTGCTACATTTTATGGTGGACTGGCTACACAACCTGATTGCTCTAATCTGCAGATAACCTTCAAGCATAG